GATAGATAGATAGATAGATAGATAGATAGATAGATAGATAGATAGATAGATAGATCTTGCATTTAAAAAGTAAGCAATTGTTTATTCAAGAAACTTATATATTTAAGAAACCTATATTGCAGTGGGATGAACAGCAAACAAACTTAATAAATTACTAAATCAATAAATTCCCTACCACCAGGAGACTGAATTTTATGTCACAAAATTGACTTCTAAAGAAGATTGAAGTACATTGTATGTATTATGTTTTGAGTAGTCAGAGCTTCTAATTCAACAATGTCATTCATTAGGAAGGGGAAAAAAGTCTCTCTTATTTCTTGAAGTTTTAAGAATCTTGTGTATTCATCTGAAATTTAAAGAGGGCATTTATATGGAAGGAAAGAAGGAAGGGACGGAAGGAGTATTTTTAGTAAAAAAAAATACTAAGAAATAAATAAAATGTAGCAACACACACACACACACACACACACAAGAAGCCATGAAAGAAATATTTATGCCTGAACCATTCAAAAGAAGAGCAGAAGACATAAAATTGTTTGGTGCACTGAAAGGCCATTTGAATCCAAAGAGTTCCACAATATTGTTTTCTGCAGCACAGTTCCTGACTGCCAGTATTAAAAATGCTGGTTCTACGCAAGAGCATATCTGTATATGCGCAAAGGGAGATTAAGAGAGAAAACATCTTCATAGACATCTTGTGCATAAGAAATATCACAGCCTCTGCACGTTTAACTCCCTCTGTGTATTTAAAACCTCTTCCTCCTCAATTGAAACCCTCAAATCCAGAGATAGAAAACAAAAATGATTCTGATTTAATTCTCTGAACTCTAAAGGTACATTGCAGTGTTACTTACATGCTCTCACATGATGAAAATGGTAAACGTTAAAATTTCTTGTTCTGTTTTAAGGATAAGCAATGATAATATAAGGGCACTTTTATCTTAAAGAATCAAGTGTATCTCTCACTCATCCTTTATCTATTGTCATTCTCAGCCAAATCTATAATCTAAAGGAGTGAAGCTGCATTTTCCCCCTCATTTAGTTCATAGTGCTGTGGAATCTCCTCCCTTCCCACTGCTTCCTGTTAATTTTTCTTCTTCTTCTTTTTAAATAAATTTTATTGTTTCCAAATTTTAAAAACATAAAATAAAACTTTATACATCTTCTTTTGATTTTAAAGCCTTAAGGCGAGGTCTTTAACTTTCTTCAAGACCTTGTTTGCTAAAAAAAAAAAAAAAAAGGTACATGAACCTGCTTTGAACCATTGTTATTGTGGTTCATCTAGCCTAGGATATAACCTAAGCCCAGAAGGCTACATGGTGCTTTCCCCAGAGTCTTGCAGGAACTCCTAGAGATCTCCACAATTGTTACCAAATGGTAAATATTGATATGAGAGAAATACAAAGGGAGTCCTTAGCCCAAAAGTTCTAGAGTCTACCCTGAGAGACTCTCCAAGGCTAGGAGAAAACCACATTTCACAGAGTCCTTGAGAAGATAAGATTTAGAATGAGAATATTGATTAAAGCATTGGACTAAAACTGGGCATATTCAGATGCTCAGCTACAAACTTGAGCTGGACTTTAAAACTGAATTACTGCAGAAAGTCCATAAATAGGGGGAAATCTTGAACTCTGCCTTAAGCTCTTTAAAGTAAAGGTAAATGTTCCCCTCGCACATATGTGATAGTTGTTCCCGGCTGAAAAGGGCGGTGCTCATCTCCATTACAAAGCCGAAGAGCCAGCGCTGTTCGAAGACGTTTTTGTGGTCATGTGGCCAGAAGGACTAAATGCCAAAGGTGCACGGAATGCTATTACCTTCCCACCAAAGTGGTCCCTATTTTTTAATTGCATTTTTACATGCTTTCTAACTGCTAGGTTGGCAGAAGCTGGGACAAGTAATGGGAGCTCACTCCGTTATGCGGTGCTAGGGATTCGAACAGCCAAACTGCCAATCTTTCTGATCGACAAGCTCAGCATCTTAGCCATTGAGCCACCGCATCCTGTATGCATAACTAAGGTTCTTATAGAGGATATACTTTACATTTATTTACTGGGATATAAATGAAACCAATTACTAAAAAAATATAAATTTATCATTCCAAACTGGAGATGTCAGAGATTAAAAACATAGTCTCTTGGGTGAAAAACACATATTTTCTCAGTAACCCTTTCTTGTCTACATCGGTGTGTGAGCTAGTAAATTGGTTTATTTTGGTAATCACAAGTGATAACATAAGAATGCCACAAAATTCAATAAAATAATAAATAGTATCTCTGTTACACAACTTCTTCCCCCTCCATAAAAGTAACACAACTTTTTTGCCTCCATAAAAGTAACACAAGTGAGGTTTTATGACTGTAACAATAATTTGCATTCACAAATACTATCAAAATGAGTTCCTGTTCTTCATAAAGCAGACTAATTCACTGTTTGCTTTCTTCCTCTTACCATCTTAGTTACCTCAACAAAATTTATAAATGTCCTTGTTTCATTTTAAAGTTTCTGTTTTGTCAGTCCTTTGGGTGGAAGAGTGAGAAATGGCTCACCTGCTTATGCTCTACAGATTGAATAATGTTAGCAGCCATCTACCTACACATTACGTTTAAAAGCAGGACACAAAACAGCATTGGGGCAGCATTCCTTTTTCTCATATCGCATATGAAAGTCAGTTGATATCCTGAAGCACTTACCTGTGTGTGGCTCAACTGAAAAATAAGGTTGTCCTTCCAAAATGCTGTAGACTAGCTTGGCACTGTTTCCATAAACAGGATCATCTGCATCGGTGGCTGTTACTTTAGTAACATAAGTACCTAAGGGCAAAAAGAAATGAATATTGGATTTTGTTCAAGGGTCTGAAATATGTGTCTCCCAAATATCAGTTCCATTATAACTTTCAAAGGTTGTAAGTTGAGGACTACCTGGAATCAGGAAAGCAAAATAGAAACAAATGAACAGAATGAAGCATCCGTGTTCAGAGACAATAAACCTCTCGTTGCAAATGAAGAGAACAGTGGAATCTTTCAGCAAGACAATGATCTGAAATTTACTTTCAAATGAACCAAGAAAACCATGAAAAAATGAGAAAGTCTTGAGGATGGTCTCCAAACTCCCCAGATTTGAATATCTTAAATTTACAAAGCCTCTAAGGATATGTAAGAATGTTTCTAATCTGGAAGTATGCTTCAAGGAAGAAGAGAGGGAGGGAGGATCCAAATTAGCAGAAAAATAGTTAAGATGGCTAGACTACACGAAATGTTTTGAAGTCATATTTTCTGTCAAAGGAAGAGTTGTAAGGAACTCCCAAATTGATAAGAGAGAATCGTTTGTGGTTTTCTTTCATGTTGTCTTTGAAAATAGATTTAACTAACGTTAGGCAAAATGAAGAAAAACTTATCAGCTCATCAAAGTAGAAACAGATAAATACATGCAGGCACCTCCCAAGCCATTAGAAGCTCAAATATGAATATAATTCTTCCAGTAATCATACTAATAGAATAAGAAAGCAGAATGATCTGGAAGATAAATATTCATTTTTAATATCATACCAATGTGGTCCTGTACATAGTAAATATTGTATTAATCTTGCTTTAATGATGGTAGATTCAGTAGTAAAATGTTTATCCTTGTGCACTGATGTAAGCATTGATCGATTTAATTATATTTATTAGGATTCACAAAATAGTCATGCTTTATCCCAAGAAGATCTTTTGCACCAAGGCAATAACACAGACTCCCTTGATGCTTCCATTAGAATTGTCAAGATAGGGCCAAGCTACCTTGATCAAGGGGGTTCCCTTGTTTCACATAAACACACACACAAACACACATAGGGGTTTCTGTACATGTGGTATGTGAGTCCAGATTTGACAGGCAAAGCAAAGCACAGTGTTCATTTTGCTCTGTCAGTTAGAAGCCATGTGTTGTGACACTTTTCAAAAGAGCTTAGAAATCTGCTTTGATCAACATGAAGTGTCCCTTTGAGGCTTTCTGCAGCCCTAATATTTATGTGCCATCCTTTGTTTTTTTTCTAAATCCGCTGCACATACAACATTGAGGTGCTGTGTCCTAAAATGTTAATTCAACAATACAAATCAAATATTTTAAAGCCACCCTCCCTTCCGCAGTCAAAGGGATAATCTCCATTGATTTCTGCTGGCCTTCTTCTTGTTCATTGACTTTTTCTGCAGTGAATCAAGTCCTATTAATTAATCACCCCCCCCCCCGTTCAGTTTGAACTGATCTGCTTTAGCTGGACTGTTCTGATAACAACTACATCTCTTGAGTATCCTAGTTCCAGCCTTGTTATCAATCAAACCAACATCCACATCCTTTAGATGTACAGATATCAACTTCCAGAATTCTCTAACCAACATGAACATTGAAATCTAGACATGTGAAATATACTTAGGTTGGCAAAGAGTTAAACAGTGGTTTTCAACCTGTGGTCCATGAATCCCTGGAGGGGAATGCAATATCCTCACAGGACCTCCATCTCCTGGGTATCTGTGAGGGCTTGAAGGAATATTATGATTTAAATCTTGAATTAAGATTTCAGGGTCCATGGTGAAGAAAAGGTTGAGAACCACTGAGTTAAACTGTAGTTTACGAATGACCAAAAACATCAGTATTTTTTTTTTAATATATTAATAAAATAGGGCGCAGAGACTCTTCAATGAAACCTGCAATAGGCCTGTAGTACTTTGGAACTATCAAAATTATTCCTCGTTTAACATAAGATATTTTGTACATTTCACTGAGAAGCCAACTGATCCATGCTTCTTGGAATAAGAGGCAGAATGGAATACAGCCAAGATAGAACAACTTTCAAAGATGTCTAATAATTCGCAGCAATCTCAGCCAAAAAAGAGAGAGATTTTTCTTCAGAAAGTCTCAATTTAAAATGGTGCATTTTAGAACACATTGCGAAGTGAGACTGCATGCATTGCAAAAGGGTTGAGCCATGCATGAATATACAGCATAGGCTGCAACACATTTTTTTTCTATTCATAAAGAAAAAGAGTTCTATGTTTTCAGTATAAAAATTTCAGGGACAAATAGTGTAATTTTATTTTAGAACAGTTACATTATTTGAGGTATCTTTTTTAATACTTTGTAGAGTGCAAAGCTACCTATCAGAATTGAGTGGACTTCCTAGCATTTGGGAAATAATCATATCAAAGGAGTACAAAACGCTAGATGAATAATATAATATATCATATTCCATTTAAGTTTTTTTCAGGAAGAGATTTCAAAGAACTTGGCAGTGGTTCAGCTGCCATATAGAAAACCAATGGTTTGAACGTGATATTTCTTTCTCTCATTCCCAGGTATAACAGCTTGAGGTAGCTATAGCCAGATTCTGAATATCATTTATTTTCTTTTCAATCACTTCCCTTCACTTAGTTTCTTTTACTTTGCATTGTTAAGAGAGTTCTTTCTTCAAAAAAAAAAAAAAAATATGAAATAAAAGCCCTTTCTTTAGCTTTTCCAGGTCACTCTTTTGATTTTGGTTGCAGAAAAAGCTGAACCAATCAAATCTGAGTCAATTCTCCCCGCTTTGTAACCCACATATCATTTGAAAAGGAGTGATGACATTAATGCTTAGTGTGTCTAAAAACAACTATCAATAAGAAAAGTTGGCGGACAGAAGCTGATATGCATTCCTAGGCACACAAACTTTGACACAAGTCCCAGCTCTTACTTCTGAAAAGACATGTTTAGCATCTCATTAAGACTTGGCTTCTCCACAGGGATTCAGCGCCATTTCCAGGAATAAAATTCAGTGTATCACTTCCAAGTCAATCATTCCAGCTCCAGAATTGGCTCAATAAACCCAATTGCCACAGGAACTGTCTAACTGAAATCAAATAATAATAAAAAGCTCAAATAAGTCCACTGGAAGCTTCACAAAGTAGCTAGCCAAAAATTTCTGGATGCATAACCTAGGAGCATATAAGTGATTTTAGAGTGTAACTGTGAGTTAAGCCTATATGTATGTATGTATGTATGTATGTATGTATGTATGTATGTATGTATGTATGCACTGTATGTACATAGATAGATAGAGATATAGATAGATAGATATAATAGATATATAGATGTACAGTATATCACAGAAGTGAGTATATCCCCTCACATTTTGTAAATATTTAAGTATATCTTTTCATGTGACAACTCTTATAGCCTAGGCCAAGGGTCTTCAAATTCAACACTTGTGGACTTCAACTCCCAGAATTCCTGAACTAACATGACTGGAGGAGGAATTCTGGCAGTTGAAGTCCACAAGTATTAAAGCTGTCACGTTTGAAGACTCCTGGCCTAGGCCATCTTTATGTAGAGCAACAATTCCTTTGTTCAGTTCCTCAGAGAGTTCATTGCCATGAGGTGTCATGTTGAACTTCCAGTGACCAGGATGAGAGAGTGAGAGCGATAACACCAAATTTAATACACTTGCTCCTCTTTCACACCTGAGACCTTGTAACATTAATGAGTCACATGACACCAGGGAGGGAAAATGGCTACTTGGCCATTTGGACATTATCAGTTAGGGGACATTATAACTTGGGGGTGTACTCACTTTTGTTGCCACTGGTTTAGACAGTAATGGCTGTGTGTTGTGTTATTTTGAGTATATTTACATTATTATATAAGCTGTATACTCACTATTTTACATTGTAGCCAAGTGTCATTTCTTCAGTGTTGTCACATGAAAAGATATACTTAAATATATACAAAATGTGAAGGGTGTACTAACTTCTGTGATATACTGTAGATATATAGATCAATATTAAACCTCATCTGCAGGATGCAGGCAGCACATGAAATCACGTCCCCTCCGGTCCACAGAGAAACCTCTCTCCATGGAAGCAGTCCCTGATGCCCAAAAGGTTGGGTGCCACTGTGTTATATAATCTATCTTTATAATTATATAATCTAGAGCCTTGGTGGCTCAGTGGTTATAGTGCAGCACTGCAGGCTACTTCTGTTGACTGCCGACTGCCGACTGCCTACAATTTGGCAGATCGAATCCCACCAGGCTCAAGGTTGACTCAGCCTTCCAGCCTTCCGAGGTGGGTAAAATGAGAACCCAGATTGTTGAGGGAAATAATGCTAACTCTGTAAACCGCTTAGAGAGGGCTGTAAAGCAGTATAAAGCAGTATATAAGTCTAAGTGCTATTTATATTGCTATCTTATATATTTTCAAGCAGTTGCTGAAGAAGCCTCACTTCATTCGGCATTTACTTCACTGTCTGAATCTCATGCCTGAAATTTTCTCCTCTCTCTCTTTTTTTTTTTTTTTTTGTGTGTGTGTAGAATGTAAATGCATCACTTTTCATAGCCTATCTTCAGTACCTAAAGGTTAAGGTATGAGTTTATTTGTTCCATAAAGCATCAATTACTTTATTTAAGCCTGTCCATCATAGCTGGTCTGTGTTCAGCACAAATACCTACAATTGATAAACCTAGAAGGCTGAGAGATTAAATATTCATCATATGATTTCACATTGTTTTTGTAATGTTGAAACTCCTTACACATTTTGGAACCAAATCTTTATGTCCTAAGATTTAAGGAAGAGAGTCCATTTCTTGTTTAAGCATGTAATCAGCTGAGTCTAGCTCATGTATCTCCACAGTTTGTGTTTTAATCACAGACTGTATTCACATGGAGATCTGTTGCTATAATGAAGACATATTAAACCTTAATAAATCTCACACAATGGATTACCTCTTCCACAATTGAAACTGAGGCTTTTAAAATTAGTTTGTATCACAAGCCACAATAATCTAATTTGGCTGTTGCATTAAAAC